GACACCCGATCAGCATAGCACACTACAGCCCAGAACTCCTGGGCTCAAGCAATCCTCCCACCTCAGCCTCTCAAGTAGCTGGGACTACAGGCACGCGCCACCACGCCCAGCTTTTATGACTTTTACAGTTTGAGGGTCTTATAGATACGTTTTTAATCCACCTTGAGTTGATTTTTGTATATGGTGAGAAGGTAGGGCTCTTCATTCTTCTGCATATGGTTAGCCAGTTTTCCCACCACCATTTATTAAATAGGGAGTCCTTTTCCCATTTTTCACTTTTGTCAGCTTTGTCAAAGATCAGTTGGTTGTAAGTGCATGGCTTTATTTCAGGGTTTCTATTCTGTTTCTCTGGTCTATGTGTCTATTTCTGTACCAGTACTGTGCTGTTTTGGTTATCGTAGCCCTGTAGTATAGTTTAAACTTAGCTTATGTGATGCCTCTGGCATTATTCTTTCTGCTTAGGATTGCCTTGGCTATTTGAGCTCTTTATTGGTTCTGTATGAATTTTAGAATAGTTTTTTTTCTAATTGTATGATTTCTTTGGGCAATACTATGCATTCAAAAAACACTTGGAAGGAAATTAAAAATAACAGTGATATCTAAATGGTAGAATCTTAAACATCTTTTTTTCCTTTTTCCTTTATTTTGTAAGTGATATTTAAGAAACTTTTAGTACTTTTTTTTTGAGACGGAGTCTTGCTCTTTTGCCAGGCTGGAGTGCGGTGGCACAATCTCGGCTCACTGCAACCTCTGCCTTCCAGATTCAAGTAATTCTCCTGCCTCAGCCTCCTGAGTAGCTGAGACTACAGGTGCACACTACCACACCCAGCTAATTTTTACATTTTTAGTAGAGACAGGGTTTCACCATGTTAGCTAGGATGGTCTTGATCTCTTGCTTTGTGATCTGCTTGCCTCAGCCTCCCAAAGTCCTGGTATTGCAGGCATGAGCCACTGTGCCTGGCCTAGTACTCTTAAAATAGAAAATAATAATGAAATAATCATGAGGGAGTGTCAGTTCTCCTCCTTACCACCCAAACCTTGCTGTTTTCTTTAAAGGATATACTCAGAGGGGCTTTTGGAAATATTTTAAATATGAACTACAGAGAAATACTGGGTTTCTCCACTGCCAGACTTTGAAGCATTCACTAGCTAGCTAATGGGCATGTGAGCCCAGGAGGCATTGAGAACATGAATATTCCCCAAACTTCTGGGAAGCTTTATTTACTGAAGCCCTTGTAGGCCTCATATTCTCTGGAACATGGATTGAAAAATGCTGGCGTGGTAGAAAGAGAACAAAATGTTGTGGCTACCTGGCCTCTGATGGATATTGTAACAAAGAAAGGCAAACTCCCCAAATGCTCAAACTGAACTTTCAGTCAAGCTTTATCTGTCTCTCAAGCAGCAAGCAATGCCGGTTTTTTATTCTGCAAGCCATTTTAGAGGACACAATGCTTGGCACCGTTACACAGGTTAGTGTTCTAGTATGCTGTGTACACAAGATGGAATGTCCTCAATTTCTGCGTTAAAATATGCTTTACTCCCTTCTCAAACACTTGTCAAATGAAATGTAGTAAAAGCTTTTGTTTCTCCACTACCTCACTGTGTAAGGCCTTAGAGAAACAAGCTGATAGAAGCAAGCCTTGTTCTTTGGCTCTATAGGAGAATGACTTTCATATCAACGTTAGAATACAATGTCCTGATCCCAGATAAAGTCTACTTGCTGCTTCTACCGTGCCAGCTTTTGTCATATGCAGCTGTGGTTGGAACATTTTCTGGCAAGAAGAAATCAGGGGCCCTGTCAGGGAGCAACAGAATATTCTGCCAGGTAATCCCTGAGCCTCTTTCTCCACTCTGGGAGATTTCTCATAGGTCCAGTGGCTCCAGACCTCAGTCAGTGTTCCTCTCTGCCCACAATGGTCACCACCTAAGCCATTTCTTGGATTCCTTTCACTGCAAGCCTAGCTGCAGAGGAGTCTGTCCAGCTTGCTTCCCTGCTGTGCCCAAAGCAAGCATACAGGCCCTTTTCTTTCTAAAAGCATAATGCTAATTGCTGGAGGGAATCCCCACTGTGTGTAACAAGGAAGAGAACACTGTGGAGGTTATGTAAGGTCAAGGATCCTCACAAGGTCTGCATGGTGATACTCCCTGGTCTAGTGAAATGGAATAAAGTTTGACACTCAATAGACTCTACTTTTAGCTATTCCTAGTGCTCCAGGGAGGTCTCTTAAAACCTATTTCTTGTCTTCTTTTCTCCCTGGAGTATCTTAGGTTCACAGCGGGTGATATATATAACCATTGCCACTTAACGTTTTCAATTCTTCACTGGGGCCCCTGCATTGGTGTCTCCATGAACCAAACAAGGTTATTTCTACTGTTCCTCTTTACAGACCACTGCTTCTATTCATACAACCTAGTGTATATATGTAGGGATACACACACACACACACACACACACACACACACACACACACCCCTCACGACTAAATTAAGCAGTTTTAAAGTAGCAGACCACACTCTGAGGTCCATAGCTTAAATAAGCAGCCATGTGACAAAAGTAGTTGGCTCACGTTTCAGAAGTGTCTCCTGCTTCTCTTCCTTTTGCTTTCCCATTACTTCCCTCTATTTTTCTTCTCTCAGGATGATTAAAAAGCACATACGCCATCATGTTCTTCTCCCAAGCTCAGGGCAGATGTCATTAATCAATCATGGCATTTTTTTTTTTTTGAGACGGAGTTTCAATCTTGTTACCCAGGCTGGAGTGCAATGGCGCGATCTTGGCTCACTGCAACCTCCGCCTCCTGGGTTCAGGCAATTCTCCTGCCTCAGCCTCCTGAGTAGCTGGGATTACAGGCACGCGTCACCATACCCAGCTAATTTTTTTTTGTATTTTTAGTAGAGACGGGGTTTCACCATGTTGACCAGGATGGTCTCGATCTCTCGACCTCGTGATCCACCCGCCTCGGCCTCCCAAAGTGCTGGGATTACAGGCTTGAGCCACCACGCCCGGCTTAATCATGGCATTTTTTAATCCTGAGTAAGCCTAGGGATAAAACTGAAGATGACTATCAATTGATCAAAATGGGCATTGAGTAGTTTACTCCTGGGTAAAGACCCTAAAGAAATGAGAGCGTATTTCCACAAAATGAAATGCACAAAATGTTTCCGGTAGTTGTATTTCCAGTAGCCCCAAACTGGAAATAACCCGAATGTCCATCAAGTTGAATGGATAAAAATATAGTTTATCCATATAATGAAATACTCTGCAGCAATGGAAAAAGATGAACTACTTATACACACAGCTTGAGTGCACCTTACATAATGTAAAGTGAAAGAAGTTAGACATAAAGGAGGCATACTCTGTGAGTTCATGCACTGCAGCTCAAAAACAGGCAGAATTCATACATGATGGGAGAAGTCAAGACAGTGGAACTGACTGAGAGGGGGAACCGAGGGGCCACCGGAAAGCCTTATGAGGGCTAGAATGTGTTCCGTATCTTGATCTGGGTGGTGGTTATATGGATGTGCACATATGCAAAAATTTATTGAGGTGTATACCTAATATGTGCACACTTTTCTGTAGCTACCCTCACTTAATGTCCTTAAAAGGGGGCACTGGCTGGCGCGGTGGCTCACGCCTGTAATCCCAGCACTTTGGGAGGCCGAGGTGGGAGGATCATGAGGTCAAGAGATTGAGACCATCCTGGCCAATGTGATGAAACCCCATCTCTACTGAAAATACAAAAATTAGCCAGGCATGGTGGTACATGCCTGTAATATCAACTACTCGGGAAGCTGAGGCAGGAGAATCACTTGAACTTGGGAGGCGGAGGTTGCGGTGAGCTGAGAGCACGCCACTGTACTCCAGCCTAGTGACAGAGCGAGACACCATCTCAAAAAAAAGTTGAGGAGGGGACACCAATTTGAAAACTGTTGCCTGGTCCTCGCTTCTGTGTTTCTGTGTATAAGATCTTGAGTGTGACTTTGATTCAAGTCCAGGCTCTGTCACCTATCAGCTGTGTATCTTGAGTAAACACTAAACCTCTTTGTACTTTAGTTTTTCACCTATATAGGAGGGATTAAAAATAGTACGTGCTTTATAGTATTGTTTGGAGAGTTAAGTTGGATAATTCATATAGGTTGCTTTATACGATACCTGCCTGGTACATTTAGTACACTCGTGAAATATAACATGGTGACTTCGTTCTCTCCGTCTTCTGACCATCTAGTTCTTCCTCATGCTGTCTTCTATCCTCCTCTGCCGACTTTTCCTTTTTTCTTTTCATCTCTCCCTACTTGTAAAGCCAAAACGTGAAGTTTAAGTACCTATCTTTTAAAATAAATACAATTTTAGTTGTATTCATAATTTAAAAGTGAGTGCATTTAGTGTTTTTTATACCTCTCTTTAAAACAAATTCTGCATTTATTAAACTAAAATTAGAGGTATTTATTATGTCTTACTGGCACTCAGTGGAGTAACTCAGTGGTTCCCAAACTTATCTGCACATTAGATTCACATGGGATCTTATAAAAATTCCAAAGCCCAGGCCACATACCAGATCAATAAGATCGCAATATCTGGATCTAGGACACAAGCATCAGTAGCTGTTGAAGCTTTCCAGGTGATTCCAATCTGATTCCAATGTGTAGACAACTTTGGGGACTATAGATTAATGGCTTTTTGTTCCTTCCATTAGCTTCAGCGGGTGGTTTTGAATCTTGGCTGTACAGCAGAATCACCTAAGAAGCTTCTAAACAATACTTGAGCCCTGTTCTGCAATAAGGTCTGAATATTTCTAACGTGCAACCAGCATGAAGAGCCCCGTTTTAGTAGGGTTGGTGTCCTGGTAGATCTTGTGATTGGAGTGACTCCAGCGCCACCCGCTCAGTGCTCCTCTCAAATACTTTCTCCTCATGATTTAGAAAATTCCAGTCCTTTCTTTTGCGAGCCAAATATGGAGATGAGTGATGTGATACTGATGTTTTTGTTGTTTTGCTTTCAGTATGGGATTGTGCTGGATGCAGGTTCTTCTCACACAAGTTTATACATCTATAAGTGGCCAGCAGAAAAGGAGAATGACACAGGGGTGGTGCGTCAAGTAGAAGAATGCAGGGTTAAAGGTAAGATGCAGACCAAGGGAAGGGGAGGTTCACAGAGGGGCATGAGAACATGGGAGGTGTGTGGCCAGCAGAACACAAGAGGAAAAGGAGCCCCAAGCATAGGACGCCAAGTGAAGAACACAGTGCAGCTGCTATTGCTATGTTATCATGAAATTATACTGAAATCAGTCTTTAATGATCAAACCCTAAGAATAAACACATATAAATACAATTCATAGTAGCTCCCATCAACAGAACACATCTACATGCTATGTAGTTAGTACTGAACATGTGTTACTTCAGTTCACCCTTATCATCTCCCTTTGAGGTATGTATTATCTAATTTTTCTTAAAATGAGGGCACTGAGGTTGAGAGAAGTTATACTACTTGTTTGTTACTGGAGCTACTAAGTGACGGAGCTGTGGTTCAAACCAAATTCTGCCCAACTTCAAATCTACATCTTAGCCAGTGCTTCTCAAACTTGAAACTGCATGAGCTTGTTAAAAACACAGATGATGGGCCCCATCCCCTAGAGTTTCTGAGTCATCAGTCTAGGATAAAGCCTGAGAATCTGTATTTCTAAGAAGTTCCTAGGTATTGCCAATCCTGCTGGTTCAAAGATTTATTGCTCTCTTAATTTTTGTGCTCTGATTTATAGCGTGGAAGAAAATTTTCAAAGCATTCAGCCTCTGTAGGCAGGAAAGACCAAATGACAGGTTCTTAGGGCTGGGAAAAGGAACTTACGGATCATTTAAATTTTGTTTCACAGAGAAGGAAACAAAAACCTGGAGGATTAGTGCCTTGCAAGTAGCAACAGAATTGGGACAAGAATCTAGGTCTCCTAATTATACTCTAGGCTTCCTGCTACTCTAACTGCTGCATTATATATCAATAACTTTTTTAAGGTCATATAAGTTTGAATTGTGACATTCAGCTCTTTCACTCTTTTTATCCAGGACCCCACCATGCACTATTGCACCACAATCTCTTGACTTATATCTCTCTTAGCCTTTTGAGCTGGGAACCCACTATTTATTTTTAGTCAGAGTGATAACCTATATCCTAGAAGATAACTGATTTTTAGTTTGATAGTCCATGGAATCCACTAATTTTCATAGTTTGTCAAGAAAGTAGTAGAGAGGATGTATTTCCAAGAGAGCAAATCATTCTACCCTGTACCCCGATATCCTGAGACTTTGGCCCCATCAATACTGAGACAGTACTTCTAGCCTCTCTTAAAGCCCAAAGTCCTCATTTTGTTGGCTTTATTTAACCCACTGCCTTCCATTTTTACAAGTTATTTTAATTTTTACTCCAGCAGATGTCTTTCTTCTGAGACATCCCACGAGCGTTTAGCCTATCAAATGCAGGATTTTTGCTGCTCAAAAGAGAGAGTTCTCTAGTTAATAAAATATTTAACACCAGATTTTCTGAAGCAAAACAATTAGCTGGTAAATTACAGCTGATTTTCTCATGGTTAAGAAATCAGGCTGTCTGAAAACCTATGAATGATCTGGATAACTTATTTTTAAATTATCTTTAAAGCAAATACTCTGCTATGAAGCACTGATGATGCAGACATTTATCTTAATGTAAGATGAAAGTATTGTTAACTTCAAAAAGCTTAACGAAACTTGGCTCCAATCCTCCATAGCAACAGTCAGTTTTGCTCTAAAACTGGAAAAACAGTTTTGCTAGAGAGGCAGGATATCAGAGTGGAAAAGTCATTGAGGAGACATAGATTCTATTCCTCTTTCTTGTAACAGGAAGCAAGTCCAGCTCAGAAATCTTAGGGTGCTGGCCAGGATCACATAGCTAGTTAGTAGCAGCTTCCATCTTTTCAGTAAAAGCCAATTTGTCTGCTGCTTAATTTTTATTCTAAGTGTCATCTTTAGGTCTTTTAGGAACTAGTGTCATTAATTACAATGTGGAATAAATATCAGAAAGCAGCTAATAAAGTAGCTATAAGATCCCCAGTAAAGTCTGAGACTGTTACGCAGTTTGAGTATGAAATTGCACCATCCAGTGGCAAAATTATTGAACACTGGACAGACTCCACTTGAAGTTTGGAAATTAAATCCTATCAAGGCTAGGTCCAGTGAGTTACCCTTTAAGTACAATAACATAATGTATAGTACATCAGGAAATTGTTTTATTTTTCTTCAAAACACCATATTTTGATCTATTGCCAAGGTATGTTTTGTATTTTTTTTTAAAGATTGTTATCTTCTACATCTTTTCTTAGGTCCTGGAATCTCAAAATATGTTCAGAAAGTAAATGAAATTGGCATGTACCTGACTGAATGCATGGAAAGAGCTAGGAAAGTGATTCCAAAGTCCCAGCACCAAGAGACACCCGTTTACCTGGGAGCCACAGCAGGCATGCGGTTGCTCAGGTATAGCAGCATGTAGGGATCAAGAATATCTGGGAGTTAGGCTTGGCAGTGAAAGAGCCTCTGAAGTTATGGGAGAGGGCCACATTCCCTAATACTCCAAACTCTACACACCCAAGTCCATACCTAAGAAAGAAAATTTGAGTAAGTGAATACAACTTCCAAATTCTTAGTATATAGAGGTATGATTTTAAGTATGGAAAAAAAAAAAAAGCCCTTGTGCATCTCCCTCTGAGGAATTCAAGCGGGATGGGGCATGGGGAGAGAAAGACTGGGCCCACATACTCTGGGGTTTGGGGCAACAGATTTAGCTATTCAATATCTGGGAGAAGGAAGATAAGAGGAGACTCATAGACATCACAGGTCATAAATAATCACAATTGCACATCTTTGTATCACTTGATACCTGTGTGAATTATTTGTTCACTTGTTCATTTATTCATTCAGCATGTATTGAGTGCCTGCTCTATCCAGAATATGAAAACTCTCAACCCTCAAAGAAATCAGTTGCAATACAGGCTGATCAATGTTTTAATAGAGGAGTGCTCAGAGCTGCTATGGGAGCACATTTGGCCCTGCCCAGGGTGAGAGGAGATCAGAAAGACTTAGGGGAAGGGATGCATGAACTGAATCGTGAAAAATGAGTTGGTGGATTGCGGGAGGGCTTTATCAGCAGAGCAGACAGCCTGCATTCAGTAACTGATGTTTAGTCAGCACCTATTATATGTCAGGCACTGCTCTAAGTACTGGGGATATAACAATGAACAGGACAAAGTCTCTGACTTCATGCAGCTTGTGTTCTACTGGATGTGCAAAGACAAGGAAGTGTGAGAGACCAAGGCATATTCAGAGGACTGTAAGTAGTTCTCCATAGATAGAAGATAGGGTGTGTAGTGTAAAATAATAATGATAATAATAATAGCAGCTTATGTTTATTGAGCCCATCCTATGTTCTTAAGCACCCATCATAACAACTCTATAAATTATTATTAACCAGATAAGGAAGCTGTGGCTTACAAATGTTAAGTAACTCACCCAAGGTCACACACCTGAGAAGTGGTAGATCCGGAATTCTGAGTGGGATTCTGAAAAGGCAGGGTCCAGGTCATAAAGTGCCCTATGGGCCATGCTAGGAAGTTTGGAGTTTATCTTAGAGATAGCAGGAAGCCATTAAAGGATGCTCCACAGCTGGTGACACTGGTAGAGAAGATGGATTGGCCAGGAAAAAAGCTGGGGATAAAAGGAAGGCATTTAGTAGGTGTGGAGGCCATTTAGATGACAGATTACAGGGGCCTAATGCCAGCTGGAAGGTAGCATCCTCCTGCTCAGAGACTCCCAGTGTTGCGTAGCCTAGATATTGGAAGCAATTGCATCCCATCTTCATTAAGACAACCCTGGAGGATTCCTTCTTTAGGTCTCAAGGTCTCAAACAGACCCAAGAACGGATCTATAATATGAGGAAGATTCTTCCCAGTTTGGTAGCAGAGTTTATTTGCCACCTGGTTTCTACTAAAATCCTAATTAAAAACCTGGAGCAGAGTCTGGCCATGTAACCAGCTAGGAGCCACTCACAATGGCTAATATAGCACACATCAACTCCAGGCGTGGTCATCAAACTAAACTCAGCTATCACTACCACAGTAATTTTAAGAGCCTGTGATAACTTTTTGAGCCAGGGAACTTCAGAACAAAAATGGTATTTTAAGGAAAACCAACTTATGAAAGGATTTGAAGGATGTGAATTTGGAGAGAGACAAACAAAAGATTAATTCTGCCTCATCCGAAAGAAAGGTTCCTCTGACAGCCACGTGCGGAGATCCTCATCTCTCCATTTATTCCAGTGTATTATGGTTCACTTTTTAGTAGCACTGTGTGGATGCTGTAGCTGAAATGGGTAGTGACTTATTAAAACGAAAATGATAACCTCACCTCTTCCTTTGTGCAGGATGGAAAGTGAAGAGTTGGCGGACAGAGTCCTGGGTATGGTAGAGAGGAGCCTCAGCAACTACCCTTTTGACTTCCAGGGTGCCAGGATCATTACTGGCCAAGAGGAAGGTGCTTATGGCTGGATTACTATCAACTATCTGCTGGGCAAATTCAGTCAGGTGAATATCTCACAGCATCCATGAAGGTGGCTTCATGGAGGCCAATGTCATTGCTATCTCAGGCAGTACTTGGGTCGCTAGCCAGAATGAATGAATGATGGATGGATAGATGGATGGATGGGTGGGTGAATGAATGAATGAATTTACCCTCACATTTGTAAGGGTCTCTTACAAGACCTTCTATTATTAGGAGAGTAAGGAGGACATGTCTTTACCTTATGGAGGCATAAAGGAAATTAAAAATCTATCATTAAATATTAGAATAGCTAACATTTGTCTACTGCTGTGTGTCTTGTGCTGTGCTTAGCACTTTTCATGTTTTCTCTGATTTCATCCTTAGAACAACTGTATGAGGTACTACATCATCCCCATTTTAGAGCCCTGTACTGATGCCTAGAGAGGGTAATTATTCTGCCCGTGGCTGTACAGCTAACGAGCGACTGAGTGAGAATTTGAACTGGAATGTGTCTGGCCTCAGACCTCTTGTTTGTAAACACTAGTTACACTGCTTCTATGTCTGGCAGTCTAAGCTAGGGCTTTGAAGCCCCTCTTTTCTTGCTGATAATCTGCTGTACATCAGGAGCCTCTAGTGAGCTTTGCCTCACCTTTATGCCCCTGTTTCTTTGCCTTAGGAAATCCTTGACTCCAAGAAATAGCATGAAAAGCAGGGTGTCCAGGGACTTCTAGCACTGGTAACTGTACTGTCTTTCAGAAATCGAGGTGGTTTGGCATAGTCCCATATAAAACTGATAATCAGAAAACCTTTGGAGCTTTGGACCTTGGGGGAGCCTCTACACAAATCACTTTTGTACCCCAAAACCAGACTATTGAGTCCACAGATAATGCTCTGCAATTTCGCCTGTACGGCAAGGACTACAATATCTACACACATAGCTTCTTGTGCTATGGGAAGGATCAGGCACTCTGGCAGAAACTGGCCAAGGACATTCAGGCAAGTATAACTCAATCCAGACCTGCTCTCCTCACATCTGCGCCTCCAGCCCCACATCCTGTTGTTTTCTCTTTCAAATTCAATAGTTTGTCTGAACTTAGTTACAGTACTTTCCAAACCTTTTAGGCAGGATATTGAACTACATCTGGTCGACCCCTATAAATGGTTTCAGACATCACCTCCCATGTTTGTTTACTGCATTATCTCCACGGACACAACTGAGATCTCTCAGGATATAATTTCTCACCCTTGTGGGGTTGATAATGAAAATTATGTGATAGAATATTGTTTGTTGGAGGGGGAATTCAATTTATAACCTCTTTTAGACCACTTTTTAAAGCTCCTTTTCCTACAAAGTACAGAAACCAGAGTTGTTAGAAATGACCTGGAGAGGAGAAGAAAAAAAAAAACCACTTCAGGTAAAACACAAAATGTATCAATTGACACTTCAAATCTTGTCTCCAGATGCTTTCTGCATTTTGAAGACAAGAAAAGTTAAACATACTTTGGGAGGCCAAGGCAGGTGGATCACTTGAGATCACGAGTTCGAGACCAGCTTGGCCAACATGGTGAAACCCCATCTTTACTAAAAATAAAAAAATAAAATTAGCCGGGCATGGAGGCACACACCTGTAATCCCAGCTACTTGGGAGGCTCAGGCAGGAGAATCACTTGAACTGGGAGGCAGAGGTTGCAGTGAGTCGAGATTGCACCACTGCACTTCAGCTTGGGCAATAGAGACTCCATCTAAAAAATAAATAAATAATGTTAAACATACTCAACATCATGTGAATATACAGGCACACCCTGACAAGTAAACACAAAGCCAGGATGTCACATCCAGCTGTTCCCTGTCTCCACAGAAAGGATAACCAGTTCTCTGCTCTCCTCCAAAGTATTCTCTCTGGTTTTCAAAACCACTCTCAATAAGATGGTCCTGGGAGTAAGGGGTGCTGAGAGATGTCCACTGAGCCTTAAAGTTCCACTAAGCTTCTTACCCACAGCAGCCTCCTTTAGTAGGTTGTGGGTTAGAAATTGTTTTTAATTTTTATTGGATAGGAGAATGTTTGAGGGAGGGATAAAAACCCTTTTTTAGAAGCTTGAAAAATAATAAAAAGAGAAATTATTTTGATACTGTTGGTTTGAATGATCTAAAAGCATCTGGGAGCTTCTGATTCTCTCCTTGGAGGGAAGGTTGATCCGTAATGACATCATTGCTATCATGTAGGCTTCTGGAGAACTACCCTCAGGCCCAAAATTTTGACAACCTTGAGAGTTTCCTTTTGAATCTGCTCCTGACCTATATGATTAGGACTAAGCACTCAGGGATATTTCAAACCAATGGCATTTCTGGGCCCAGTTTTAACTACATCAGCATTCTTTGAATAGCCAAAGACATTTATATCTGATACCACTTCTGGTGCCTGTTCACAAATCCATTTATCATATTTATTCCCAAGGGTGAAAAGGGCAGGGCAGGACATACTGATGTCAATGCCAAGTGGTGGGACATTTTATAGTGCCTACATATTGATTAAGTCAGACTGTGCCTTTTGTATCCAAAGCATTCACACATGATGCTTTCAAGTGATTTTTCCATTCAGGTTGCAAGTAATGAAATTCTCAGGGACCCATGCTTTCATCCTGGATATAAGAAGGTAGTGAACGTGAGTGACCTTTACAAGACCCCCTGCACCAAGAGATTTGAGATGACTCTTCCATTCCAGCAGTTTGAAATCCAGGGTACTGGAAACTATCAACAATGCCATCAAAGCATCCTGGAGCTTTTCAACACCACTTACTGCCCTTACTCCCAGTGTGCCTTTAATGGGATTTTCTTGCCACCACTCCAGGGGGATTTTGGGGTAAGTTTGTGAAATGATGAGGTATAGGATGTCTTGTTTACAAGTTATAGAATATGTGCCTACAAAGGATTTAAAAAATAAGATGTATTTTTCTTTCACATTATGTCTTGAGGTAGATGATTAGGGGTTGGTTCTTTAGGTCAACTACGTCAGAACTTGGGATCAATTTTTCCACTATCTTGGTGACCTTTTCGTGCTAAGGTATGTTGCTGCTCCAAGCACGGTATCACTAGGTCACTGCCTCCTTTTTGGGTCTAGGCAGCACCTTAAGTCCAGGTTTGTCTCCATTCTAGTCAACAATGGGAGCACTGCCTTTCCAGAACTGGGGAGGTCCCAAAGACGTTAGCCCCAGCAGTGTGGGGAAACTAACTAGGGGGTTGTGCCCAGGGGATCTTGTGGGAGAAACCTCCCACAACCACCGAATGGCCACTCTGATTTGTCATCTTTTTTGGTCAGTTTCCAGAGCAGAGTTCTCAGGGCTGGGGATGCTACATCTGCCTCTTCCTTGTCTCTACCTGTCCCCAGGGATGTTTCTCCCTTCAGGATGTCATGATGCTTACTGTGGGTTAAGATAAGGACAAGTTTCCTGCTAGGGAACCCAAGATGGTGGGGAAGCTGATTGTCCACCTTCATCTCACTTTTTCCAGTGTAGAAACTGTGAGTTGGGGAAAATTTTCCACAAGCTTGGTGCCAGGCAGAATGCGGGGAAAGGTGACATGGATGTGGAAGTTTGATTCTCTTCCTGTCTATGTGGAGTTTTTTTTAACTTCTTTGTGGCCCTGGAACTATCTTATCTTCATAGAGTTGATTTCTGGGATATTGCTGGTGATAATATCAGTGCTGTACATTTGCTTTTGGTTTTCTGTGGTTGCGGGGCACAAAGCCAGCTTGCTTCTATGCCACATTTTGGAATCAGACATCCAAGCATCATATTTTCTTTCACATGCAAAGCCAAAGCAGGAAAGATGTTTAGAGGTTTCCATTGCACACATCTCTGCACACACATTTTGCAGAAGTGCCAACTGACATCTTTTCAGATCCTGCTGGCCAGAAGTTGGTGAAATATACACTCTCAACCAATATGTGATAAAGAGAAATGATTAAAATGGTCAGTTTAGACTAATTATTGTTTCTCTCTTGAGGAGTCTTTCCTGAGCATATTGCTTTCCTCTACTTGGGTAAAATCAGGATTTCATAAGCGAGGAAGAGGGGGGCTAGCTATGGGGTACGTACCGGTTAAGAGTCTGCCATAGGTGGCTTCTCAAGTCAGAAGGAGGAGAAGCAGCAGTTAGATGACATGGCTGAGGGGATTTTCCCTCTATAAAGACATTTAGGAAGTAGAAACTCAGGAAATCCCAAGAAAACATTGAAGATAACATCATTGTCATTATGTTTTGAAGAGATGGGGGATTATTTGAATCCTAGCTCCAAATTCCTTATTTTCTTAATAACTCCAGAATAAGATAAAATATTTGAGCAGAGACAGAAGAGATACCTCTTAATCGACTCATTCTTCGAATTTCATATGTTGATCCCAGAGGCCGAGCATTATTGCACTATATGTACATTCTCTCTCTCTTTCTCTCTCTCTCCTTTTTTTTTTGAGACAGAGTCTCACTCTGCTGCCCAAGCTAGAGTGCAGTGGTGCAACCTTGGTTCATTGCAACCTCCACCTCCCAGGTTCAAGTGATTCTCTTGCCTCAGCCTCCCCAGTAGCCGGGACTACAGGTGCGCACCACCACGCCCAGCTAATTTTTGTATTTTTAGTAGAGACAGGATTTCACCATATTGGCCAGGCTGGTGTTGAATTCCCGACCTCATGATCCACCTGCCTCAGCCTCCCAAAGTGCTGCGATTACAGGTGTGAGCCACCGCACCTGACCCATTATCTCATTTATTCAATCAAGACACCCAAAGAAAAAGGGGCTTTTGCCTGCCTTCATGCTTTCTCCCTTTTCAGAAAACAGATCAGTATGTGAGAAGGGAGGTTTAGCTCCTCCCCTCCAGGACCCCAGCAAGAGAGTTTCTCCCAAGGTCACCTGCCCTGGCCCAAGGCAAAGCTCTAGGAAGAGAACACAGGCACTGTTGTCATCAGACCTGATTTTGTTTCTGGCTTCCTGTGAACTGCATGAGCTCTTCATTTTCTTGGTCTTTGAGAAAAAAACAATAGGTAATGCCATAGATCCAGGCTCACCTTAATCATGGTCCAAACCACAGCCTCCCCTTGCCTCAAGGTTCCTGAGGAGAATACATGAAAGACAATGACTGGCTGAGTAGCATTTGGCTATTAGTTGGCTGCAAACCAAAATTCAGAAGAAATGGAACCTCACTTGAATGCCCTGTAGCTGAGCTGGCACTGGCTGCTCACCTTGGACCTTTTTTTGTGGGGGCCAGGGCCCTTGCCTTACACTGAACACCTTGAAGAGGAAGGAGGGTGCCACCTTGGCCAAGGGCCTTTTTCAATCCAGTCACCGCAAGGATGTAAATCTAAAGGCAATGAACATACCCTTGTGTCTTGAGTTTGCAACTTCCCAGAAAACTTTGCTTCCTGGGAAACATGGCCCAATTCCTGCCTTCAAGCTTGAGCAAACCCTCCCTCCTTAGGGGACTGGAATTTCTTGCCTTTGAATGTGATTCATCTAGCCAAAGCAGGGAGAGGTAGGGGCTGGAAAAGGGGAGGGGAGTCTTGAACTCTTCCTAAGGCTTTTGTTTGATCCCTTAGTTCCTCACTGAGATTGTTCTCCCAGCCTTCTGAACCTCAGTTTGGCAGTCCCTTCCCTAAGATTATCTCATTGCCTGCCTCTATGTATCTTTCTCCTTTGGAGACAGCCCTTGGGGTCAGAACTGTCTTGTCCCTATTTTTACTTTGGCAATTTCCTTCTGCTTCAGATTTTTGGTGGGTTGTTTGTTTTGTTTTATCTCCTCTGTAATTTCTCCCTAAAACCTAAAGATTTTTTTGTCTGTTTCCTCATCTGTACAATGGGGGCAGTAATACCTACCTCATTGATGGCTGTGAGCCAGACAAACAGTGATAGTCTGGGAAATACCTAACAAACAGCTCTCGAGGAATGGGGAGCTGACTTGTAGCATTTACCAGTTTCCATGGTGTAAACAGTTCTACCACAGCCTGTTTCAAGCTATCAACATGGTATCAACTGGCTCACAAAAATCTGGAAATTTTAAGAATCAGCTCTTGTGAGTGCATAAGAGTCGGCTTCAGCACACCACTGTAAATAGCAAAAAGCCGACATACCCCAGCACCACTCTTAACAAGGTTAGCTCTTTATCCTAGCAGTCTTTACTCTACGCTGTCCTTCCCGCAGGGAGTTCCCATTATCAAGTCCTGCCTCTTGAAGCGTAACTATTTGCAACACAAAAATCCAGTTTTGTTCCCATTATTTCCAGAACCAGTTAGCCTGGGTGTTCTCAAGTCACAGAGAATTTGCTGGGAACAGAATTTTTGCTATAGTTGTATTTAGCACTGATGATCTCATTCTTATTCCGTAAATATAGTATTAAAAATTGTCAGTGCTCTAGTCGGTCTGGCTACACTGTAGCCTTGGTTGCTAAACAGAATCCAATGTTGTGGGCAAATTAGAAACACCAACAAGAAAGAGGGAACATCTGTAGGGAATTACTTATGAGGTAATTTAGAAATTTTTAAAGATCACATTGCGCTGTTTATATAAACAAGAAAGGGAGGAAACAAGTTCAGTAGGAAACTGGAATTAAAGAACATTAAAAACATATTTGTTTACATAGGTATACATAAATGTGTGTGTATATTTGTATTTATTTTTGTGAAAAAGTAACTGAAGTTTTGCACCATGAATTTTAAATAATTGTAACTAGGCGGAAACACATCTTTATTAATCATAATGGGAACCATTACAATCAATGCATTTTTGCCAATGAGAAATAAGTTTCTTTACTCCTGTAGCATACACATCTGTGCTTTGGGATTTGATGAACTATTGGAAAGCATTTTCTGCATATTCTGCTGGTTGCGGAAGTGATTTCCTTGCAAAAAGTTGTTGAGATGCTTGAAGAAGTGGTAGTCGGTTGGTGAGAGGTCAGGTGAATGTGGTGGATGAGACAAAACTTCATAGCCCAATCTGTTCAACTTTTGAAACATTGCTTGTGCAATATGTGGTAGGGCAGCGCATGGAGAAGCATTGGGCCCTTTCTGTTGACCACCGTGAGCTGCAGGTGTTTCAGTTTCTGGTGCATCTCTTCAATTTGCTGAGCATACTTCTCAGATCTAATGGCTTTGCCGGGATTCAGAAAGCTGTAGTGGATCACACTGGCAGCAGACCACCAGTGACCATGACCTTTTTTTGGTTACAAGTTTGGCTTTGGGATGTGCTTTGGAGCATCTTCTAAGTCCAGTCACTGAGCTGGTCATCACCAGTTGTCATATAAAATCCACTTTTCATTGTATGTCACAATCTGATTGAGAAATGGTTTGTTGTTGTGCACAGAAGAAGAGAAGATGACCTTTCAAAACGATGATTTTTTTTTGATTTTCCATCAGCTCATGAGGCACCCACTTATCAAGCTTTTTTACTTTTCCAATTTGCTTCAAATGCTGAACAACTGTAGAATGGTTGCTGTTGAGTTCTTCAGAAACTTCTCATGTACTTGTAAGAGGATCAGCTTCGATGACTGCTCTCAGTTGGTTGTTGTCAACTTCTGATGGCCAGCCTCTATGTCTATGCTCCTTATCTTCAGGGCTCTTTGTGTTCTTTGCAAAATGTCTTGAACCACCACTGCACTGTACATTTGTTAGCACTTCCTAGGTCAAATGCATTGCTGATGTTGTGAGTTGCTTCTGCTGCTTTACAAACCCATTTTGAACTTGAATAAGAAAATCACTCAAATTTGCTTTTTGCCTCACATTTTTCCATAATCTAAAATAAACATAAAATAAATAGCAAATAACTCATTAGCAAAAAAGGATAAAGCAAGAGATGCCCATTAAAATGATGTATAACATAACC